GTGGGCCGGACTAGTATGGTGGGGACATACTAGCTCTTCACCAGTGGATATTCAAGCACTTCAACAAAGGTGGTCAGGATCGTTATCCCAATTTTACAGATGGGGAAACTGAGGCAGGGGATGTCTGGGTTGCCAGGTACATTATCGACCCACTGCATAGCTTGTGCTAAGTCACTCCTGCTCTCTAGGCCTAGCTTTCTCATGTTAGCACACACACATAAGCTGCGTCACTCTGAACAACCAGCAGCTGTCCTGTGAGAGCTTAGGAGTCAGTCCAAGGTAACATGACGTTACCCCTCACCTCACCAAGACAAGATCTGTTGCCTTGCAACAGCAGGTACCAACAGTGGTGTCTGGCCCCCAGGCCCATGTGATATAGTTTCCCTAACCTCAGATAACGCAAATCACAATGCCACATGGTGATTTTACTCCAGGGGGAGATCCCCCACAGTGGACTGTGGTTTTCACCACAGAAAATCTTTCCAGTCCCACCAACGATGATCAACCTGGCCTGAAAGAAGTCCACTCCCCAGCCTGGCAAAAAGCTGGTCACTCTGACTGGGGTTAGCACTACTGCAGGCGTGGAGCGGGCTCCCCAGAAGAGACATGGACGGCCCTCTTGCATCACTTTATGACGGCATTGACTCTGAGTTGACAGCTCTTCCTCATTCTGCTCCTGGGGTATTTTGTAGTTACAGTTCTCTCCCCCAGTTCCCTAGATTACAACAGCAGCTACTTTCCCAGCTACCAGAAACGCTTCCCCTCATCCTATGACGGTGCCGCAGCCTCCCCCAGACACCCCTGCTGTAGGTGTTAGGTGGGGAGCATGACGCAGGGGGAGTGACACAAGAGTCTCTATCATTCACTGTCCCATGAGCAAAGGGTTTCCCTTTTTTTAAATACCCCCCGTCACGCCCTTATAATTTTCCAAATCCAGTCAACCCTAGTGGGTTGGCGGAAATCAGCTCAGAGAACTGGAACATCCCTATGGGGCTCTCTAAACCACCCCTGGCTGCTGTGGCAAGATGGATTTCCTCAGTGAGTGTGTTCCACGACTTTGCTCAAAGTCGTTTTTAAATGTCCCAAGCGCTGGGGTTCCCACCCCCTTGCAGGGGGAGACGATCCCATCTCACTGCCTGGACAATATCGTTGAGGTGCCTTTGGCCACGGCTCTTTTGGGGCTCGTCCCACACACAAGCTTTAGCAGACATAAAGGTATAACAAGCTCATTCATTCATCCCCCCACCCCCACCTTCCCCACTTATCAGCATTTACGGGAAACCTGTTCTCCAAACCCTGCTCCCTTCCTGTAAGGCAAAGCCAGCCGTTCAAGGAAAGCACGGCTGGGACGGCCCCGCTTTGGGCTGCTGAGGCAGCGGCTCTGGAAGCCCTTCCAATGCAGGGCAAACATTTGCAAAACTGGCAAAGGTTGGGCTGGTGGCAGGAGGCATATGTGCAGGGGCGGTCAGAACTGTTTGCTTTGCCGCAACGATATCAGATCATAAAAGGGGATGCCAGGCAGGGTTACGTAGAAAGCTGCCACCCTAGAGGAGAGAGTGGCCTCTGCCAATATCCCAGAGCAAATGCTTTAGAGGAAGCCATAAAAACCCACAATGAACCTGCCTGTGCAACTGTGGGCCATCCACAGGAACTGTTTGCTCCCACCAAATCCTAAAACAGAAGCAACGGGTCTCGTTCCTCTCCTGGCTCCTGCCTCTCAAGATGCTATGCTGAGCTACTCCTGTCTAATTTAAAAGGTGCTGAAGATAATCTCCTGCAGCAGGGAGTTGTACATTACCCAAGAGCAGTGTCCGTTACTCTTGTATCACAGGAAGAAGAGTAGCAGCCGGGGGCGGGGGTTTGTTCCCACCCCACCCCCCAGGCTCGAGGAATGACTATGCCATCATTACAGCCACATGCCAATGAGCCCTATCACCCATTTCGCAGCCCTCTCGCCCATCTCCTGCCTTTGCTACGTCAGCTGGCAGCAGTCTTGCTCAACCGCCCCGAGCACCCCAACCACTTGAAAGCCGCGGCAAGTGATTTACGAGCCCCCTTTACTGCCGCCCCTCCCTTTCTGAAAAAATGAGGGTGGGGTGAATAGCTCCAGGTTACATAACGAGGTTACATCAGCAAGGGCCTCGTTATCGCTGCTCTTTGAATCCACTTGGCGAAGCCAGCGGACAACGGCCCAGCCTTGTTACTATACACAGTGGAGCTGGCTGGACTGGGAAGCCTGCGTCCCAACTCTCCCTTTATCTTTCCTTGTCAGCCACGGACTCTCCTACCCGGACACAGTGCACGACTGTTGGCCAGCGGGTGGGTCCATGTGACAGCCAAACAGGAAGGAAATGCTCATCAGGCTTCTAGGACATGGTGCTCCCTTACCCAATCCCATAGGAGGCCAGAGAGCGTCTCAAGGAAGCTCTTGAGGGGACTCTGTAGCCAGTCACTCTAAGGGCCAACGCAGAATCCCAGGCGATGGCAAGACGCCCACTGCTTTCAAAGGCAACATTTCTGCGAGAACAGTCGCACTGTTTCCCGAAGCACAAACGACCACTCCCGTTTAGCAATGGGCAAACCTCCCATGGATTGGTGAATTCTCGGGGCACGCTGCCTGCTTCCTGCTAGGGGTCGCATGCGTGGAGCAGAGCAGGGACTAAGGGCAAAGCAAACTGTGCTGGTGAGAAGCCCCTTGGTCTCCCCTCCCCGCAATCTCTCTGCTTGGTGAGGCCAGTTCCAAGACCGGAGTTGAATTTCCTATGCAGGACTGCGTCAGGGGCATGTTCCGTTCCAGGCGGTGCTGCCTCAGCAATGGCTCACTGCCTGAATCAGATGCATGCGTGAGTCACACGGGGTGTTCAGCAAGGAATCCCAATGGACATTTCCCAGCAGGAATTTCTGTGCATCCTTTTTAATGGCATTGCTTAGCGGTGAATCCGCTCTCCGGGCACGTTGCATGGACTTAGCCAGAGTAAGAAAGATTGCTTTGCCTGGAAAGGTCCATACGGCAGGTTCCAGAATAAGGATCCACCCTTCTCAGCTGTGCTACAACCCCTGAGGACAAACTAGAACAAAAGATCCAGGCAAACAGACGAATTCGGAGATTCCACTCATGGCACTGATGTCTTTGGCCTGGTTCGCTCCAGCTGTGACCAGGAGTGGAGATCATTCGGAAGAGAGCTTACAAGAGTCAGGTCATGCCCTGAGCTAGCCCCTAGGTACTCTTCCCAAAGATGACAATGCTGGTAAGTGTCAGAACCTCCACCTCGAAAGGGAGAGTCTCTCGCTGCAGATCTGCCACCCATCTGACCAGCAAATGGCTGCAGAGAGCAAGGAGGAGTCCGCCAACCTCCCGCACCTTGGGTAACACTGCCCAGCCAGCCAGGTGTTAACATTTCACTTCCCCACTCAAAAAGCAGTAGCCAGTCAGTTTCAGAGCCAGGATACTAGCGAGAGGGACCAGCGGTCTGACGCAATAAGACAAGATGGGTAAAGGGCCAGTTAACACAGCAGAGATTTGTACAAATTGGCCAGAGGGGAATCTAATAGACCCTCCGCCAGCCTAGAGATTTTCCCCAATCCCAGCCATCAGTGTTTGCATTGGGGCAGCCACTAGATGTAGACAAGGACTGGCACAATTTGCACCACAGCAGCTCACTCCAGTTTCAAGCAGCAGTCAATGGTGTCTTTATCTGGCTGGAATTGGACAGAGAGCCCCGTGTCAGGATAGTCACATGGCAAGCTCCACCGTGCTCTTGAAATGGGATGGATCAGAGCCTGAGAACACAGGGAACTTAAGGGGAAGGGCCCAGTTACTGAGAGACTAACAGGGAAAGCCAAGTGTTAAAACTAAAGGAGCCCCTCAACGACCATTCTTTTCACTTTCCTGTCTTGAGCAAAGCACGTGAGCAAAGAAAAGATACACCAGCAAAACCTCAGCCAAGCCAACTGCTCCCACTCAGCCTGTGCACGATAAGATAATACTCCAGGCAACTCAGCATGGTCACAGTCTGACCAAGCCCAGGGCTGGGCAATTAAAAGGAGCCTTGTGCAATTTACTCCAGGCAAACGACTACCCGGAATCAAAGCTCTGTTCTCACGCCAGCACTGACAAGGGAGTGCTGTAACAAAAGGAACTTACAATTACTCGCATGCATGATCCGGGGGTTCATCCACACGAGCCACGGTCACACTCACTCAGGGATTTCCTAGGAAGCTCAGTCCAGTGTCCCTGACTGCCACCACTGGACCCTGACTCCATAAAAAAACACATGCAGTGGTTATCAGACACACTCTCCCCAGGCAGGCTCACATCACATTTCAGAGGATGCTCTGGCTTCCAAGCACTTGTCAGAGCTGAGGGGGAAGTCTGTTGATATCCCTGGGAGCTGTAGACAGGTTTGGGGGCTCTACCTCACTGTATTCATAGATCTTTTTCTCTCCTTAGAGCGGTATTTTTATTTTTTAAATTGATCTTGTATGTAAGAGTCATGGACCGCAGATCTGAAAGCAAAAGGAATCGATACAGTATAAATCTATTAGGCACAAAATAGAGTCCAAAGGGAATTACAGAAGATACAGATTGAGATAATGCTGCTGCCTCTGGGATGGAAAGCGGGGCAAGACTTCAGCAAGTGTAAGAATCCTTTCTTCTTGCAAGCAATGTTGGTTTCCTCTGGTTGGGGAAGGCAAGCTCCGGACTCCCCTACATTAAGGTTGCATTAAACCATTCTACCCCGCTTTCCCGTCGCGATGCATTCCACCAGGAGAGAGGAATGGGCAGATTTTGGGCTGGCTTCATGAACAGCTGGGAAAAGCAGGCAAGAGCCGCAGCACACTAAGGCTGCGTTTTAGGAAGGGGGAGAAAAGCACCAGGCTGAATTGAGAGAGAAGGAGCATTTGAAAGTTGTAGGGTGTGCTTGCTCTTCAGTTTACTGTATCTCAGAACCGCTAGCTCCTTCCTCTGCTTGGCGACAGGAGAGAAATGCCACAGAAAATGATCTGCTCACGGGGGTTTATTGTAGGTTTATTCAAGCCCAGGAGACGCATCATTAGACATGGTACAAGTCAGTCGTAGCACACAACAGGTGTTTTACAGGGTGTCAGAAACACACTGGCCGGCAGAAGGGAATGAGCGTTTCAACCTCCGAAGGCGTGATGGAAAATTCCATGCTGAAATTCCCCCTCTGGCATCACCTGGGATGAACCCTCATTGCCCACGGACTTGAACTCAGCTTGCACCAGGTGGCAGAAGTGAGTCTGGTTCATTTCTGCCCAGGTCTCAGTGAGGGCATGTACTGCGGAGCACCCCAGTGATATCTGGACTGATTGGCAGCACCTGCTCAGGACAGGCCTGGGACAGGGGCTGCAGCAGGTCAGGCTGAGGGGCATCAGCAGAGCTGGGTGGGGGAAGCGGGCATAGCAACAAGGTGGCTCCAAGCCATCGTATTACTTGCTGTCCTCCACAAGCACTAAGTGCCACCTCTTCCCCCTGCAACAGAGCCGTATCTGCCCTCCCTTGCACTGTTCTAGCTGCTTATCTTAGCAAAACTTAGGAAACGGGGTAAATCTAGCAGGAAGCTATTCCCACAGGAATCTGGGCACGCCCTGCCGACAGCCCGTCCCAGACGCACACGGGCAGGTGACATTACACGATGGAGCTAATCGGGACAGGAGGGAAGCATAAATTGTCTGCTGCAACATTTTGACTGCAGAGCCATGGCGGCTGCAAAGTTTGAAGACTCCCAAACCAGCAGAGGATCACGCCAGAGAAGGCTACAGAAGAAATCACCACAACACCCCCTTTTAATCTAGCAAAAAATAGTTATGCCTCCCCTGTAGATTTAAAAATACCACTGCAGAAACCCCTGGGATCTGCAACTCGCAGCAGGTGCCACCTTTGCTACCGACAAGATGTCGTGTGGCTGCTGCTCTGTTGGGTGTTTGGAGACGAAGGCCCATGACACATTTGTTTCAGTCACCGGTCCATGGATGAAGCAGATAAAGCTGCACGTACTGGAGACAGGAAGGCGTTGAGCAGCTGTGGGGTCCCCGGAGCCATTCTTCAGCTCCAGTTCCCGTGTCCAGGACTCAGTCGCAACTCCGCAGATCCAACAGCAAGTGGTGAAATATACCAGCTACTGGGCCCCCAGGGAAACCATCAGTCTCTCAAGATGCCACGTCTTGGCACAAAGGCTATTAGGGAAGTCCCAAGCATCTGGGCTTTATGAGAATAAAAAAAACTAAGTCTTAAAATATTAGGAAAAAAGATCCAAGAACAGCCAACAGCATTCGGCATCAGCAGACGATAGGGAACCACAATCCCACATGGGCTGGAGAGAACGGCACCTCTAACACGCCTAGTGCTGGGGAAAGCTGCTTCTCCAGCCACCCAGGCTGTTCCTGGGAATGAGGCACTGCTAGACTCAGGGTTCACTGGTGACTCGGAGTCTGCTCCACGGCAATGGTGTCCCCCTGGCATGGAGAACAGGCAGGATCCATGCAGCCAGAGATGATCCATTGTCCGCTCCCCCTGGCTTCTGTCCCGCCTTCCCCTCACCCAGCATCGCAGAAGGGGGAGCCGTGTTCACAAAGCGGCAATGGCCTTGGCAGCGACCCGGCGACCCAGGGGCAAGCTGAGATCTGTGATGGCCAGGACAATTTTGGGACTGGACATGGTGGACACTTTCACCAGCTCTGACACCTGCCCAAAGAGAGAGGGGAGGAGAAAAACGGATGACTGAAGGCAGCGTAGGACATGCCAGTGTTCTAGAGAGAGGGCTCAGAATAGCACATGCAAAAGCTACCAGCATGCAGGTCACCTGAGCCAGACGGTGGGACATGAGCCAGACTAGAAAAGGGAGGTGACCCTGCTGCCAGCGGGTTAAGATACAGGAGTCTGAGCCCAAACTCCTGCAGCTAGAGGCAACTTATGGGGCTGCTCTTCGGTGCTAGCAAATCAGGTACCCACAATAACAGCAATGCTTTGCCCACCTCTAGAGAGTCCAGTCAGAGGATCTCAATGCACTTTGTGCCTCACAACCCCCTGCAAGGCGGGGATTAACCCCACTGTTCAGAAGGGGAAACTGAGGCACGGGAGTAGGCACGCTAGGTGCCCAAGGTCACACAACGAATCAGTGGTAAAGCGGAGAACAGAACCCAGATCTCTTGACTCCTAGTCCCAGGCTTTAAACCACAAGACCAACTTTGCCTCAGGCAGCGGGACTGAGCTGCTATAACAATGTAGCCTTCTCTGTTAGGCCGAGGCCCAGGATACTGGCTGGAGACCCTGCCCCATATAACTAGCTTCCCTGAGTCAGTTCAACGCTAGCAATCACCCAAGTTGCCCACGGTGTAAATTACTGACCCTCCACCTCCACTCCATCACGGTGAGGAGTTATAGGTCTGACCCGGCCTCATGTTGGGCCAAGCTGGGACGATGAGTAAGCAGGCTCCAGAGGCAAGTGGCCTGACCCCAGATCGCTGGGAGTTCCACGCCACAGCAGGGCCAGGCTTGGGCACTGCAGAGCGAAGCCCATGGGTCTGGCACGCGGGGGGCTGGGTCAGAGTTCTCAGCAGGGGCTGTGGACCAGGAGCAGGACTCACCATTGTGAAGGGCATGAACTGCAGGATGCTGCCGCGGCTGCCCTGCTCCAAGCAGTCCACGCACTCCTCCATGAACCACTGGACGAACTGGGTGTGTGTGCCGGCTGTCTTGGCTCCCAGGATAGAAGAGATCAGCAGGAAGAGGTTTGCTGGAGAGGAGGGGAGACGGATGAGTATTTGGAGCCTCAGGATCAGCTCAGGATTGGCAAAGGGCTGGGAGGTGCCTTCAGCACCTGGGGACCCGTTCATGGGCACCCGCTGTATCAGGGCTCCTGACTCTGCCAGGCTGCTCAAGAGGAGTCAGCACCAGAAGGGCTTTACAGCAGAAAACGTACCCAACCCCTGTGCTAAGGAGACCAGCCAGCGCTCTGCTGCCGCCGGTGGGAAGGGATCCGTGCTGTGAGCCTGCCATGCAGGGACGCAAGCCAGGTCCACGCCGAGGGGAATCAACAGGAGCAGTGACTACAAAAGCAAAGCCAGTTCAGAAAGGCACCTCCCTGGGGAGCCCATACACTGCAACTGACCAGGTGCCGCTCAGCACGACAGGGGCTGATTCCACCTTCCTCTGCTGCAAAGGGAGCTGTGGGCAGGATACCCGACCTGACAGGCCATGCCTGATCCGATCCAGGCCTACGCTCCTGGAGAGCCCATGCAACCTCCTTATCAAGTCTGGGGACCAGCTCTCGCTTGGGACTCACCTAGGACTCTATTGAGAGGGTCCCTCATGCTGATGGTGTGAAGCTGGGAGGCAGACAGCGAACTGCTCATCGAACGATCTGCTGCAGAGGAGAACACACCCCGGTCAGGAGGAATAAGCCCACCGGGCACCTGCACTCAACCACAGCTGCCAACGTTCCACCCCAGGCAAGATCAGGGACTACTGCCCCTTCCTAATCTGAACACTGCAGGACCACGGAGAAAACCAAGCCAGACGCACCCCCATCCCTGCAGAGAGGGACAGCCGAAAACTCCTGCTGTACAGAGCCCACTTGCAGGTGTGCTTTGCTCTGCCACTCGAGGGGTCTCCCTCCACCCTCAATGGGGGGCACATAAGATGCCTTCCCCAAACCCTCAATTTTATCTCTAACACAGTGATACTCAGACTTCAGCGGTTCAGGAGCCAAATTAGTGATCAACATTACCCAAAAACGCCAGTCTTGTGAATTCATTGTCTCATTTACTACAATACTATATATCCATATTTAAATGGTATGATAGTAGAAATATTTAGTTTATATATTTATTTCTCACAGAAAATAAGTTAACAGTGTACTGCAAGTTGATAACTTAATTGGTTAATAACACAGTAAAAGCATCCTGCTTGTGTGATGTAATTATTAACCAATCTAAGTTACTAACCAGTGTCTCTTGCGGCTCTTTGCAGCACATTAAAGAGCCACTTGCGGCTCTCCAGGCTCATTCTGCTCTAACACAATCAAAGGCGGAAAGCTCCCTTGAAGCTTTCCCAGCCTTTGGGGGTATTTGGATCCAGGGCTTTGGTTTGGTCCATCAGGCAGAAAGGGGAGTTATGAAGTTCGGAGCAAGATCCAACGCTGGCTCCAAATGCGAGGTGTTAAGATGATCTCTGAAGACAACACACATGTGGATTTGAGTTGCCATGTTAGCCCATTCCAACGCTGGAGTAGGAGAAAACTTGTTTCTGCTACCACGCGGGAAATTCAGACCCACAACACACAAACTCACTGTTTGTTTGAACTCATCACCTGGATTTCTATGTTGATCACCACACTGAGGGGATTGGTTATTGCCCATTGGCTCCTATCGTTAATATTACTGTAGGTCAATCGGATGTATCACAGGATTTTAGGCATTCTTGGATTGGACTAAAAAATGCCATGGCTAATTTTTGGATGTCACTGTGCTTCACTGTTGCACAAGCCCAGATGCTTCCTGAAAGCCAGCGAGGCAGGCAAAGCTTAACAGTGTTTATTACGAAGATGTATCTGTCTTCATTTCCCCAGCAATCCACATCTGGTCTGGTTTGAATAATGGCTCTGAACTGACACTCAGTAAAATCATGATTAACATAAAGCAGTAGAACATGTATATAGTGCCCTTCATGCGGAAGTACTTGATAAAATTCAACTGATGCACATCTTGTTCTTATGGTTCACATCACCAGCACTGAAATCAGCCAGCTCTGGGGTGGAACACAGCAGCTGTTTAACAGCCTCACAACAACACTGCATGACAGGGCAGGGTGTTACTGATCACTTACTTAAATGTCATAACTGGGGACAGGAGGGTTCATAGACACGCTGGGCTGAAAGGGACCTTGAGAGGTCATCAAGTCCAGCCGCTGAGCTGAGGAAGGACCAAGTGAATCTAGACCATCCTGGACAGGCATTTGTCTAAACTGTTCTTAAAAATCTTTGGTTAGGGGGAGTCCACACCCTCCTGTGCAAGCCTGTTCCAGAGCCTAACCGCACGGCTCTTTAGAAGGCAGAATTCTAACATCGGAGTTAAAGTTTGACCAAGATACCAGAGTTTAACACTGCAACTTTCGGGAAAAGGACCACGGGACCTAGAATAGCCAAGGCAGTCTGAACCTCGGGTTTACATCTCAGCCAAAAGATTGCCAATTCGACAACACACAGCAGCCCAGTGTCCCTTGTTCAGTACTGGATCGCAGTGTGCTACCTATTGGCTCACCAACCTCACTTCCTACAGCAGCTTAAATTTTCTCTGGAGGTCTCACATCCAAATATTGATTGGGCCTAATTCTGCCTAGCTTCTGAGATCACGCAGGACCGGACAGGTGGCTAAGGATGCCAATAAAAAGCATATTCCCATGCAAATTGCTCGAGAACTACGTGTAAACTCAGGAAGCAGGATTTCCAAATCACTGCTCCATCACAGCAAATTAAAAAAAAACCCTACATGTCATGGAAAAGGGGAGAAAAAGGCACACTGAAAGAAAGAACAGGAAAGACGGTGAAATAAGGGGAAAACCACACAGAACGTCATGCATGTTTAAACAGCACAAAACCATGAGAAACCACCAGTTTAAAGGACAAGTGCTGAAAGGAAACTACTCAACAGATTGATGGGCTGGAGAATTGCAAGGGCATCTCTGATTCACTTCAGTCGAATCTGAGCGAGCACATTTCTGACCTGTAACATCCTGCTATATATAAGCCAAGAGCCCAGAATGCGTTTCCTGTTGGATCTGTCGCAACGATTATTCATCCGTACACCAGTAACAATCAAATGTTACATTCAAGGAGACTTGTGTGGAATTCTTAAAATTAGCTTCATTTTGCTTCTTTAATGAAGGCCGCGGCGGAGTGAAATTCCACACCCGTACATTTTTACCTGGACGGGACCAGCAGGGCCAGCTCCTGCAGGCACTAGTTCGCCTGCAGCACGTGGCGGGGGGTCTCTGCCGCTGGCAGAGAGCTTTCCTGCCCCATACGCATACGAGGAAGATTTAACCCAAAAAGGACCCTTGTTCTCAAGTGGGTGAGAGACACTGGGGTTAACCAGGTGTTAAAAAGCAGGGCAGCCTTCCTCACACTCGTCCCCACGCAGGTCCGTCACGCATCGTAAGGAAGCAAACTGAGGCACGAGCCCAGCCTTCATTTCTGCTTCCCACCTTTATGGCTTCAAGTCACGAACGCCTCTTTAGTGACGCCTCTAAACCTTCCTCACCTTCTCCTCCACCTGGTCCCCAAACTGGGGTCATAGCACATCCCCCATGCCGTTGCTTACGGCTTTCTGTGGTCCGCCTCTGAAGACGCTGAACGGCTGCGTTCCAAACGAGAGGCAGCTGTCCTGCAGCACAGGGCACAGAGAACGCTATCGCCCCACTGATGTAGAGAGCCTGAATCCATGAGGGGCTGAGCACCCTCCGCTCTCAGCCACCTCAGCTGCACAGATTCACGACTAAGACAAGTGCTTTGCATTGATACAGCAACTGACGCATTCAAATATCAAGCAAGTCACCCGTGAGGCAGGTGGGTCAGTATTAACAGCCCCAGACCAAACAGAGGCAATGAAGTGATTGGCCGAGGTATCGTCGGTGGAGGAAAGTCAGGAACAGAACCAGGGTCTCCTGATGCCCAGGTCCCCACGCCCAATGCCAGCCCACAGGCCACATTGCCTCTGGGAAGCTGGTGCCACAATTTCACTTACTAGGGCTGGACAGAACATTGGCGTCCTCCTCGTTGGAGCTCAGCAAGCGCATAAGCTTGGACGGCTGGGTGTCGTCCAGTGGGAACAGGCTAATGTAATCCTGGAGAGGAGGAAAGCAGAAGATTCAGGCATGGCTGAGCTGGAGCTCGCTGGGCACCCCTAGCACCAGGAAGGTCTCCCGGCTTGGCTGCTATCCAGGCCGGCCTCACAGTCACACCCCTCCCTGGGGGCAGGGCGCAGCACGACTGGGTGAAACCAAGTGCAAGGCATGTGGCCAGGTGGGGGATTTTAACACGCAGCAAGCAGAGGTGTAGTCCAGCTCTGTGCGGCGGGATCACCGCATGCACTTGTGCGTGCGAAAACGGTCAAGAGAACAAACTTTACCAGCCAACCCCAAAGTATCCCCGAGAGACGGCAGCCTTCCCTTTATTAGAAAACCAGCTCTCTCAAAAACAATCCGGCTTCCAGCCCATCCTGAGTGGCTGCTTAAGATGGGTTTGCCCAGACGTGCACTGTCCACAGGATATAGATCCATGCAACCCAGAGACTTTGCACTCCACATACACACACACGTACCTCAATGTCCTCTCGGTGCCTCTTCCTTTGCCTGGCTGATGCTTGGCCCTTGTTGTGGGAGGAGTAGGAGCTCAGGGCGCACCACACAGAGAGCCTAGCGTGAGAATCACAGGAAAGGAAAATAGCGTGAACTGCAGGGGCGGTTTCCCTGGATTCAGTATCACCTCAGCAGCACAGCGGCCAGTGCTCAAGAGGATGTGGGTTCCTGCCTCCATGGCTGGCTCATTGTTTGGGGATAGCGTCATTGACAGCATGAGCTTCCCAACATGACACAGCAGCTTATCGCTTCCCCCTCGCCCCTACGGCTCTCCCCACTGAGCCCCACGCACGCAATCCAGGAGACTTCATGCCTCCTGCTAGCCTAGCCAGATTTGCTTAGTCATTGCTTTGAGCGAGGGAGGCCGTGTCTAGAGCAAGGGAATGGGCAAGCAGGATGCCTGGGTTCTATTCCCAGGTGTGCCACTGACTTGCCTGGAGAGCATGGGTCACCTCCAGCAGGGATCCCCAGTCTTCCCCCACCCCCCAGCTCCAAAAGCAGGACTCTTCGGTACACGTCTGTCAAAGGGCCCCCGACGGAGGCAGGCCGGGTGGTTCCCTTACTTGGCAAGGGCCTTGCCAGGCGGGTCCATCAGGGTGTGCCACTTGGAGGAATCGGTGAGCAGGCTGGGCAGGATGTGGCCCAGCAGGGATAACGTCAGCTGGTGCACGTCCAAGCAGAAGATGGCGTAGAGCAGTTCCACTGCCCGCAGCGTGTGCTCCTTGCGGGTTTCCTTCAGCAGCTCCTAGCGGGAGATAGCGGGGGACAAATCAAGGAGGGGACTGACAGCCCTGCCACTATTGCCATGGACATGGGGATCTCTGGCAGCCATGGCTGTCGCTCCTGCAAGCGACACACATTACCTGTGCACGTCCAGAAAGAGCAGCAAAAGGGAGGCAGCGGAATGTAATGGTTAGAGCAGAGGTCTGGGAGCCAGAACTCCTGAGTTCTATTACCAACTCCGCTGTCAACTTGCCACTTCCTCCAACACCCCTGCCATCTGTGCCTCAATTTCCCCACACGGAAACCTGGCACCATTCTACATACAGCCCACCGGCGCAATGACTGCCCCCCAGCACGGACCTTGACCAGGTTGTTGCAGAACCAGTAGACACCTCCCATGTGCAGCAGCGTGTCGAAGATATGAATGGAGCGACTGTCGACCCAGCCCTTCTCCAGCACCTTGGTGAACACGCCTGTCAGGACCTCTTTGATGGGCTTCTTAGGGGGCAGCAGGTTCCAGTAGGGGATGGGGTCCGTCCCCGTGGAGGGGAATCGGATCTGCGTGGCCGTCTGCTGCAGGACGTCGGCGCACATGTGCTCCAGGATGGAGCTCATTATCACCACGCTGGGAAGCAAAGAGACAAAGGAGCAAGCTGAATGAGAGGGCACTCCGCACCCACAGCCTGCTCTCTGCAGAGACCTCCTTCCAGCAATGTCCAGTTTGAGATTTAAAGCTACAAGAGGCAGGAAATCGAGCCCTCCGGAGACAAGGCCCCAGCCACATGGCTGCTGTCTTTCCCCACATGACCGCCCCCCTCACCGCTCGTTGTAGAACTGCAGCGTGTTCTCGCTTTGCAGGGATGTGGCCAGCTGCCGGATCATCTGCAGCGACTTGTCTCGCTCATCCAAGCCCAGCATGCGGACGTGGGCCACCAGCCAGGCCATGGCACACACGGCCATGCTGCACACCTTCCCTTTGATGTTATCCGTGATTTTCTGAGGGCGAGACACAGGCAAACGGCTGAGGTTCTGCACGAGACACAAATGCTGCCCTGCCCTCTTTCCAAAGACACTGCTCTGTTTCACATCACTGGGGGGTCCTGAAGCAACAGAACCAAATCCACCCCAGTGCAACTCCATCCGTTTCAGGGGGGTGGGTCTCGCCCCAGGGCCTTGCCCAATCCCTGCTGAAGGCAGTGGAAAGCTTGGACCAGCCCCTCGGTGGCAAGTGCTGAAAGCGAATGGTCGTACGCAGCGTTTCTATGGTGCTCTTTCTCCCCAGACTGCAGAGCACTTGATAGACTGGGGCAGGATCAGTGTCGAGATCCCCCAGTACAGATGGAGAAACTGAGGCACAGAGAGGAGCAGCACCTCGCCCAAGGTCACAGGGCAGCGAGCAGGGCAGGATTTTGTACGCATCTCACCCTACCAAAGGGCTGAATGTTTGTAAGTTTTGCTCTCTGGAGGTGTCTGACTGTGGAGGAGCAAGAGATACGCTTTGCAATAAAGCATCTGAGGGAAATGCCCAGTGGGGAAAGCTCCCACCAAAGAGCAAAATCTGGACCCCACAATGCAGGACAAGAGACTCGGTCCTAACCGAGAGTTTACACCCGCATCCAGTTTCACTGGCATTAGACACTTACATTGTGAAGGCTGGTACCACTGAGCACGTGACAAACAGATCACACTTATGGTGAGCGGTGATATTCCAAGCATGGTTTCTTTGTTTTAATTGAAGGCTGATGAAAGATGCTGGATTGACTGTTCTAGAGACGGACATCCCTGTTTACCAGGCCCAGTAACCCAGGGTTCTCTCTCTCACCCCTCCACCCCCACCCCACTGTGCTGAACCCCTATCCTGGAGGGGTGGTATTCAGAGCAAGAAGGGCATTCGGCCCCCAGTGTCGAGACCCGCTCAGGCTTCGGGTGAGTCTGTGAGGCGAACATTTGCAAACCTGCCTTCTGGAAACACCCAGCCCAGGGTGGTTTGTGCCGCGGCTCTACCCCCGTGGGGCAGGGCTCCCCTAAGGTGCCCGGGGAGGAGCCAGTGGCACGGCTACCTGGATCGACTCAAAGGTGAGCACTCCATTCTCCCAGGCATTGAGGATCTCCAGGATGGCCGCCGAGATGCTGAGACATACCTCGTGCCACTTCATTTGCCTGCCGGGAGGGGGAGGGGGAAACAGAGGGAGACCCGGTCAGGGGCACAGGATACCTTTAAACGCTCACTCACCACGACCCTACCAGCCCGAAGGGGCAAGTCACGTGCTGGCGGCAGCGTGGGTCCCACGGGCAAGCCGCGCTGCTGGCCATCAGCCTAAGCTGGCTTCTGGTAGAATGGGCTCAAGCAAACAGCTCTGTTGGGAATCTAGCTCAGCCCAGGCTGTAGTATGAGTGGGAGTCGGGTCCCCCCCCCCACCACCACACACACAGGGGAGCTACGTACACCAGCTTCATTTCCGAGGAGCTGTTCAGCAGAGCAACCAGCGATTCCACCTTGGTGGAGTCAGGCCGGAAGCAGGGATGATCTGGGTTGAGGATTTTCCCCTCCTCCGGCATGCAGGTCTGCATCCAGGTCTCGAAGAACGGCACCTCACCCGTGGGGCTGGACTCTGAGAGGATCACCTGGAAAGAGGTCCCAAGCAAAGGCCCCCTAAGAGAACGCGGAGCAGCCCAGCCAATGCACAGCTCACCACTGATGCAACAGCAACACACAGTGGCCAATGTGGCTAATGCCAGGGGACTATTCCTGAGGGAAAGGCAAATCTCCGTGGTTCTGGCCAGTCCCAATGAGGCGAGTTACTCTCTGCCCTTGAAGTGTCACTCTCCCATGGGATTCTCCTTCCCTTCCTGTTGTGCTCTGCACAGACCGCACATTCCACCCCAGAGGTGGCTGCATTTCAGTGACGGAGTGGAAGCAGGTCCTACGTCAGCCTCTAAAAAGTACTCTTTGGATGGAGGAACGACTGCCACCAGGACCTGGCGTATCTGTCACGAGCAAGGATTCTTGCCCTGCCAACTCCTTGGGTGCAGAGTGCCCCCAAGCCCTCCTAGGGAGCATCCCTTGCTTCCCTACAAACCAATCACTCCAGGTCCCTAGCAATGTTTTGGATAACGACTTCCCAATACACCTGTGCACAGGAAATCCCGGCAGTGAGGTAGCCAAGGATTATCCTGGGCTTGCAGGAGCCGGGATGTTTGCATCAGGCTGGCCTCCGCGCCTTCGGTTTGCTGGTGTGTGGAGCTTCCCCTAGGCCCCCCCAGCCCGGTGAGCTGGGACAGCACCCTGCAGGCTCTCACAGCCCGCGGTTAGGAAGGAAGCAGGACTGGGGGAGGAGCCGAGAAGGAGCCAGGCTCTGCTGCACCGCGGGCCAAGTAAAGGATGGAAATACCAGAACGCAAATCAGCTGCAATGCAGCCGAGCTCCAGGGACTCCAGCTGAATCAACCCACAGCACAAGGTTAAACCGAAAGACACCCGTCTCGGGAGGAGCCACGCCTCCCCCAAAGAGCAATTCCCTTGCCCAGGTATCTGCCCCCTTTAACGTTCTCTGGAAGCAGATCTGGGCGTGTGCGACATGCCAGAGGGCTGCGAACTGCTCGGCTGTAGGCATTGCCTCCCTTGGCCCTGCTGCTTCATTGGCTGTATGGTACCGTCACGGGGGGCCTGTGGGAGTTCGGCTTTTAGAATCTCCAAATGGGAGACACGGCTGTGAATTTCCCTGTTCAGAATACAGGAGGCGGCTGCCTGGCCCACTGGCTGGACTGTGCACTGACATACAATGGAGCGGGGTTGGATTGCGGAGTACGGCTGGCTCCCAAGCTGTGGAGATTCAAGAATACCCGTATATTTCCCTACCGAGCATATAGGACTATTACTGCGCACTGCCCTAGCCTTCTAAGACAACACAAACAGTAAGCAAGGCCCACAAGGCCCCGAAGAGAGACGTTAGGATTACTTTAAGCAGCACCAAAATGCAGCCACCTCTGGGGTGACATGCCATTGCTGTTCAGCAGAACCCAGCCAAGCTGCACAAGACTTTATGATGGAAAGTAATTAACAACAAAGCCAACTGAAGTGGCAGGGTGAGTTTACTAGCAATCCTTTGTTCCTTTCTATCTCCTCTCTCCAAGGATCTACCAGTACCTTCCAAACATTACTGAATTAATCCTCACCGCACTCCTGAGAGGTGGGCACTAGAGACTGGGAAACTGAGGCAGAGAGCAGGGAAGTGGCTTATTCAAGGCCACAGAGAGAGTCAGTGGCACAACCAGAAACAGAACCCAGGAGTCCTGACTCCCCTGTCCTAAGCTTTATCCTCTGTAAGTTAGAAAAAGGGAGATAGGCTGGAAATTTACCCAGAATAGAGAGGTTAACTCCCCAAATACAAACATATTTAATAGCGGGGAGAGAGTTTCCCTTACCCACCCCTGGAGCTGCTCACCACTAGACTGTCTGTACGGTATTCATACAGGCTAGGACAATGCTGCATCCTTACCCAACTGGGGACCTGGGGGCAAATGGGGGAGAAACAGACCCCCCAGAATCAAACAGGAACATGGACAAGCGAAAGAGCTGGCGTCTCTGAGCCAGCGTTAGTGCCTTCTTTCATGAGCATGACCATGTTAACTGTAGTTGCACAGCGCCCCCATGTGGGCATCCTTATATATTAATCTCAAAACTGAGCAGGATGAGAGGATTCAGAGATGGAAAGAGACGTGGTCGATCACTGAGCCCATCTCGCCAGAGGTTAATCCGGACCCAGCTCTAGGAAACAAAGCAGGAGTGGGAGGGGATGGTTTTTTCTATCTCCGACTCCTGTGATGTTACAAGGTTACGCCAAATGCCCACACTCTGTGGGTCTGACACGAGAGGCAGCGAGGGGAAGTAAAACGAACAGAGTAAACCAAAGTCAGGAGCGGCCATCGATTTTCACAGGGTCACAGACTTTAAGGCTCTGATCATCTGATCGGACCCCTGCAGGACATTCAGCCAGGGATCCCTGCAGCAGATGAACCATTCTGTCATGCCCAACAATAGGGGTGGCCTCGGTTTGGGGGCGCCCAGCTGGCAGCCCCTTGACCTGGTTTTCACAGGTGCTGAGCACCCGCAGTTCACTTCAGCTGGAGTTCTGGGTGCTCAGTGCTTCTGGGGAGGGGAAAAGAAAAACCATCAGGCCCTCAGCTAGCAGCTGAAGACAGCAGCCACTGACAGACTTTTGGCTGGAAGTTAATTTCATGCGTCCGTTGGCCCGAGAGCAGAACAGAACAGGAGTTCCCACAGCTTCCAGGACTCTTGCTCTTTCCAAACCCAGCCCTCTCTTTTCCAAGCTGAAAGGAAGCAGGTGAAATTAAATGCTCCGATGATCTCTGCACAGAGAGCCCTAACGGGATGCTCCCAGCGGGTCACCATCTGTGGCGATCAAACCCACCACCTCTGGATCCAAAAGCATGAGCTTCTGTCGCCCAAATGAAAAGACCCAGCTCCGTTAGATGCGCCCTCTATGTGATCCAGCCACCAGAGGGACACCAAGAGGGACACAGCGCATTAGCCTAAGCTATAGAAGTGCTGTATGGTCTGAGCTCAGGTTTATTCGTTCAGGATCTCCTAGCTGGATGGCACGAGGTCAGGCTTCCTGGAGAAACCGGTCCACAGAGCCACACGCACGGGGGGCAGCCTACCTCAGAGCCGTAGGTCTGGGCGACGTGGCACAGCATGAGGAAGGAAATGTCGAACAGCAGGGCCCTGACAGAAGCCGCTTTGGCTGTGGAGGAGAAACCAAGCCATTACCAGAGGAGCTTTCCAACCCCAGTTCGCCCAACTCCTTCCCTCAAGGCCCCAGTGGGATGCTGTGGAGGGACCTCCCCCACCCCACTGCACTGGAACATGCTGCCTCCCGTGGGGGGCTGCTCCTGCCAGCAGGGAGAGCAGGTCGGTGCTCACACCACCCAGATCTCCTGCATAGCGGCCTAACCTGAGGGACCAACACGTCCAAGGGCAGGGAACTTTCACTAGCTCCCACCCCGCATCCTGAGCTTGAGACCCTGCTGCACCACTAAGCGGCCATGGAGCCTGGAGCTAAGCCTTCCCTCCAGCCAATGGAAGGTCAGAGCATTTCACATGTTTAATCACATGCAAATATATTCATAATCCTTATCTTGGGTCCTGTGCTCAGACATCATCCCTTCCAAAGAGGGAGAGGCTAAGGGGCACTGGCAGCAGGCCAATCTCCCCCTCCCCCCGGGGAAGGAAGGGGGACTCATCTCCCCCACCCCCACCTCCATCACAGAGCCCCCTGATCTGCAACTGAGCTGGGGACGAGCGGCGGGGGCTGCAGGGCAATGCACACGTGCTGCCAGAGAGGATAAAGAACCCCAGTGAGCCCTGGACCCTGCCAGAGGGAATCAATGCCCCCTTGTGCAGGCCCCTGGCTGGGACAGTGCTTTCTACTGTTACACTACGGCATTAACTCTTTCAGACCGGGGGTGCTCTATGAAAGGGCCCGGGCCCAGCTCCTCCACACTCAGTAGTAAGGGGCTCTGCAGTTCAAGCTGCCCTGTCACACTTACAGCCTTCTCCGCTGATGTGCTTGGTAAATTCATTCAGCCTGAAGAGAGGCAGAGAAAGAAGCAATGAAGCGCCATAGCCGAGGGTTCGGTCTCTGTGGCTGGTGAAACTGAAATCTCTTTATCCCTAGGGCAGGGAAGGCTGCCCACACCAGCTGCCCACGCCAAGCCTCCTCCACCCTCACTTGCCACAGCAGCTCAGGCCCAGCTTGGACCCTCTCCCCAACCGGGGCCAGCCTCCCAGTTCCCACCGGCTCCTTTCTCTGCTGGCTCCATGGCGCAGGCCCCGTCTGAAGATGGAAGGGGAAGGAGACCAGACGCGGGGCTGGGACTCTGTAGGCCTGGGTTCAGTTCCCAGCTCAATGACATGTCCCCTCTGGGCTTCCATTGCCCAGGGTAAAATGGGAATTACCCTTGCTCTCCCCCACCCATTGCCTGGTCTGGTTAGCCTGGGAGTCCCTGCTGTTAGGGTTAGGGTTAGAGGCCCCAGCCAACCTGATCTTGGCCTCTAGCCGCTACTGCTCCATCCATCAATCCTAGCAGAGTAACAGCATCTGCCACATCTGACATGGGTGCACCGAACAGGGGGGATTCAGGCTAACCCAGGAGATGGCACCCTGTACATTAACACACGCACACCTGTTCTAAGAAGCCAGCACCACATCAACCCGACCCACTACCAGACCCCAGCTGCACTGGCTGTTTGGTTCGCACTCTCTTTTCATATGCTTTAGTGGTTTGAAGATTTGAATGTGTGCAAAATAAAAATGACTCCAAACCCCAAGCCTGGGTTCTGCCCAAGACTGGTCTGACTATAATAACAATTCCCAAGAATGATTCCAGCTGACAGGCAGGGCTTTAACGTGTCAAAATAGGAAAAGGTCCTGCTTATTTATATTACCCCAGTGCTTGGACACCCCAGTTCGGATTATGCTGGGTGCTGCACAGAAAACAAGTGAGAGGTATTCCTCTGCCCCAGAGCTCACAATCTAAATAGACTAAGCCCGTCTACATTAGGAGCGCTTTGCTGCTACAGGAACACCAGTATATAAATCTCAAGAACGCACGGCTAGCGTGGACGCAGCTAAAGCTGCACTTTCCTGGTACAGTAAAAGTGCCCCACGCAAACAAAACAGGCGATAATCGGTAAAAGTGCAGCGTTGTCAGTTTAGCTGCATCTACACTAGGGGCTCCTGTTGGCACAGCGAGGTGGGTCAGGGATCACATCCCTGACTGACATAGCTACTCTGGCAGAATTTTGTAATGTAGACATAACCTAAGGAATGGAGGGGAAACTGAGGCACAGAGAGGGGAAAGGACTTGCCCAAAGTTGCACAGCAAGTCCACAGCAAAGCTGGGAATAGAACCCAGAAGTCCTGACTCCAAGTGTATGCCCTGTCCACTGGGCCCGGCTGCCTCAAGTTGGCTTACCATGTGCACTCCCACATCAGCTGGTTTTAGAGTACACGAGTTCAACCTCACAATTCTAGCTACTTATTTTTAATGCACCATCCAACACCGCAGCTTTTCCCCTGCCCGCCTGGGGACAGCGAGGGATTTTAGCGAGCAAGCAGAGTAGCAGGGCTGTTTGTTTGCGATATCATGGCTGGGGCAGGTGGATTTTGTGCCTGGGTGGTATGTTTCCAGCACAAGAGGCTAACAAACCCCCCCGCATAACGATCTGAGCTCTGAACATCTGCAGACCTATCCCGAGATTGCTGAAAAGCACTGATTAAAGACACGTTCTCAAAGCACCACAGGGGGCTTTGCTGTACAGCTCCCACTGCCAGCCGAGGCAGATGCGTGACCAAAGCCGGCTGCGTTGCTGCACCCATAGCATGAGAGGACACAAAATACAGATTGATCCAGCCTCGTTATATCTCCTGGATGTTTGCGGCCACCTGCTTCCCTCGTTTTGCTCAGAGGTGGGAGGTCTGAGGCACAAACAGGTGACACAGCTGACATGACACCCCGCGCCCAGCGATAACCCAGCACAGACAATCTCTCTGGAGTCACTCACTTGATGAACTTCCGAGCAAAAGATTTCAGCTTCCCCGTCGCTGCTGCAGCTGCCAACAGCAGATCCAGGCTCTTCCCAGACAGCATGTGGCCCAAGACGCCTAGTAGCCCCTCTGGGGATTTGGAGTGATCTGCATCCATGGTCTAGTGAAAAAACGGGGGGCCGGGGAACAAAGCAGTTTTAAACAGTGTTATAAAGCGGCTGTAGAAATCTGGGCATGACTGGAGCTCTCCGATTGGCTGTCGGTAACGCCATATGCAAGTCAGTCCTCATCAGAAGCCCCGTGGTTCTGGTCTACATGAGAAAACAAGAGATCCCGTCTCCCCAGAGGGATAAGCCCTGCCAGACGGCGCTCTAGCGTTGCTCAGCCACCACCCAAGGAGAGCTGTCATTACCCATAATCCACCACCGGTTGCGGCTCAAGTGGGACCTGTGGGACAAAATGTACTTGCTGATTCAGAAGCTGGGGAGCGGGGCGGCCCTAACAATGCAGGGAAAGACTGCATCCGCCTGTGTGAGCTCTGTGTGCATTATCCAGAGAGAAAGGAGTTGGGAGCAGGACGTACACAGAGCTCTCTGCCTGCAGAGGCCTGAGTCATGCTGTTACAGCCCAAGTGCTTGAATATGCTGGATAAGGTCACCGCTTCCAGGTGTGGCTAAAGGGGTGGCTTGGCATGGGGAACAGCCCCTCTGACTCTTACAGCCACTACAGCAGAACAGGACACCCGTCGATCCCAATAGCGCGGCACAGGGCTGCTGGCTGCCAGCTGCCCGCAGTGAGCCTGCCTGCAAGGCTGACTAGAGGTGCCGCCTTTCTCCCAGCACTGGGAGAGAAACTGGAGCATTACAGCCGCTCACAAGCGATCAAGGGTCCCAGGTGTCCACAGCGGTCTGGGACAGGGGCGAGGAGCACTGGGGAAGTTACCTTGAGGATGTTGGTGACAGTGGGCTCGGCTCTCAGGATGAGCCCCGGGTTGGGCTGGATGTTGGCATTCTCTGCCGATTTCAAGCGTGGCGCGTGCTCCCGGTCGGCCGTCCTGGGGGAGATATGCACGGAGATGAGGGAATCAGAGAGGAGGGGCCCCCTCTTTCCCCTGCTTTCCAAATAATGTCCTTTGGGTCTGCGATCCCCCACTCCCTTCACCAAAGTGTGCCATCTACACCAAGCGGGACAGGGTTAATACAGCCCGCGGGAATCCAGCACCCACACCCCTCCCCACATAGGGAGCCTGTGGCCAGCCAGAGCAGCAGATCTGAGCCGAGGAGGCAGTTCCCTGGGCTGACAAGGCCCCCTTCCCTCCCAGTCCCCATAGTGTGCTCAGCAGAGACCAGCAAAGGCCTTTCTCTTCCGGCTGACACACCTAGGGTCTTTTAGCCCCCGCCTCTGACTGACTCTTCCTTTAGGGTTTTGACGTCTGGTTAGATCCAAACTGTCCCGTTAACTTCCTCATAGTGGAATAAAGACCCCCAGAGCCCCCAGAACCCAGTGATTCCCCAGGGAAAGGGATGGCAGCAAGACCCAGCTGCTATCAATGTGCAGGAATTTCACAGGGGAACTCCCAAAGCGGCAGAGCTGGGGGCCTACCGTTTGGCGACCAGGTTGGTCATGTTGGCCTCAGACAGCAGTCCCTGTTTGCTACACTCCTGCAGGAGCAGACTGGTACAGTCACAGCTGGAATTGAGAGAGATGGAGCTAAGAGCACAAGTTTTCTACTAGATATTAAACCCAGGACACAGGCCAGTTTACCCATTCGGGGCTGTGGGGCTCCTCCGGCATGAGAGACACGCTGTCCCCATGGTTCTGCACGCAGCCCAATGGTTTTCAACAGAATCCAGTCATTCCCACAGCAGCGAGGAGGAGGAAAGACACCGCACATGGCATACAACAGCCGTGCCCTTCCACATGCTTAGGCCCTTTCCCCTGGGTGCTCCGAGATCAGGCGCAGACACGGGAGGGAGAAGCACTTACTTGCATCGCTGATCAGCTTTGTCCAGCAAAGGGGTGAGTTTCAGCAGGAACTCAAAGGCACAATTCACATCCTCAGTGAAATCCTGCAGCCACACAAGAGGCAAGAGCTCGATCAGACCTCGCTTCACAAGGTACAAGAGATTCTTTCAGCTGAAGCAACAAAGCCACTTAGAAACTTGGGCTTGATTCTGCCCCATCAGCTGAATAACTCTGCACAGCTTCACCTGGTGGACCAACAGAGTGTTGGCTGGTCAGTGTGACGTTAGCAAAGGGATGGATTATCCTATGGTGCTTCTGGGACACAGGGAAAGCTGGGCGGCCAGAATCTGATGTTCAGAGGTGCCGCCTCCCACTGAAGTCACAGCACGGCAGGAACACAACCCTCAGCAGCAACAGGAGCGCCAGACACTTGCCATGAAAGTCAGGCCCCAACCTCCGCTCATGCATTACAAGCTGACATCCACTGCTCAGCAAGGAGAGGGAGGAAATCCTTAGAAATGGGTTGGGTTGGTGTTTTACTGTGGAGTTCCCAGCCCTCAAAACAAAATCACCCACAGAGATAGCAAAAGAGCACTGTGGTAAATGATAAGAGCAGCCAAGCAGGGATGACTTGTGACCTCTGGCTATAAACCTTCCCCCAAGGGGTTTCAGCCTAGACCAGCTATCACAGTGGTACCCCATCCTCCCATCACACCCTTGAGGCCAGGAGTTTGTCTCCTCCCCCGGTTATGTCTCATCTTTTAGACTGTAAGCTCCTTGGGGCAGGCAGTGCCCTTGGCCGCATGGCCCCGATGTTGCCGAGACCTACACACATGCTTATGGTTACGGACACGAGGGGACCTGCTGACCAATCAGATCGTTCCTGGTGCAAAGCTGAGCACGGGCCTATGTCTCTGAGGGAGCAAGGTCTATATTTGTCTAGTACAACAGAGCCCCAAACTGGCTGTGGGCTGGGGTTACACAGAGCCCCTGCTACGGGGGGAAGGACCACCCTGGTATGAGAGGCACATACAACCCCGGGCAGAGTTTCAGAGACTCCCTGAAACAGAGGGAGGTAGGAGGGTGGCAAGAGGGATGCAAGGAGCCCCTGGTGTGTACAAGTTCAGACGACACAAGTTACAAAGCATGTGACCTCCCAGGCTATTAGACCGTAAACTCTTTGGGGAAGTGATTGTCTGCTACTCTGGGATTGTTCAGTGCCTAGCACAACAGAGCCTCCATCTCATCTGGTCCCTGGGCACCTCCTTTACAAACATGATCTCTGTGTGTGTGTGTGTATTGTGTGTACACACACACATGCACTGTAAATGATCAACACTAAATACCAACAGTCACAGCAACTCACCTTCTCTCCCTGGGGATATTTCTTTAGTTTAACCAGAACCTGAGGGATCTGAAAGAAACAGTTTTTTAAAACATTCAGATCTAGCCCAAGAGATCCTGGGTGCAGAGACTCAGGCTCATGCAGCACGATACGTGGCTCGCACCCAGGCATCATGGCACAAGACACCAGCCCTAGAGGAAACACCCCTAAGAGCTGCCCCACAGAACTGCACCAGCGACCCATCTAGTCAATGCCCTGGGACCATCTGTTCCCGAGGAAGGTGGGAGGAAAGCCCCCTCGTGGACATTTATGGAATCACCCACACAGAAGGGAAGTGTCACAGTTTCTTCCTAACCCATCTCTCAGAGCTGAAGCAGGAGTGTCTGTTCATTTCCATTAGGTCCCTGATTCCCTTCACACCTGTCAGTCCCAGCGGAGATTACTGGGGATGAGATGGAGGAATACGAAGTTGGAATGTGTTGAGCTTGTTCTGGGGTCAGTTCCCGTCCACCGTCCTTTTTTTTTTTTTTTTTTTTTTATACAAAAAGCGGACAAGAGCTGGGACAGGGGATCCAGGGCCATAGGCTGCTGTTTACATTGGGGAGAGGGGAAAGAAAGACGCTAAACACATAACCTTTCAGTCTGCCAAGGACAAAGGAAGAATGTGAAAAAGGAACAGCACCAGGGTCTTAACACAACACTTATTCCCCCTCTGATCGAAATCAGACAGTCACTTAGCATTTATAAAGCATTCTGCAAGGCTATCATCCCTGCTTTACAGATGGGGAAACTGAGGCGGACATGGCCAAAGCAACATGGCAGTGCTAAGAACAGAACACAGGTCTCCTGGCTCTCAACCCTGTGCTTTAACCACCATCCCCACATTGTACACTGGGACCAAAAGCTCCAAGGAAAAAGGCGTGACGCATGGGGGGGAAGGAGGCAGAGAACCTACTGAGATCTGAACCTTGGGATCATCTCTCCGTTGCTGAGCCAGCTCTTGGCTGACAAATAAGATCAGGGCCTCTCTGCATACAGCTGGATAAAGTCAAGCCAATGTCATATCCCACAAGGGCGCAGGTTCTCCATTAAGCCAAGACCAACCGCGCTCCACAGCCAGAAACAAAGTGACACGAAAGCTGTTTTGCTAAACTAAAATAAGCCTGACAAATCAATGTTTGGTGGCTCGTGTAAACGGATGCTGCCTGCAGGCTCAGCCTCCGAGCCTGCAGTTTAACATGCTCTGTACAGCTGGGGCATGAAAAGGGTCCCCAGGTGTGGGGGGACGCAGTGGGAGAGGAGAGGTAATTGCTCGGCCAGGTTTTGGTGCTCAGCAGGTCCTGGGGGAGCCAGGCAGCGACAGACTCCGGGCTGTCGGCTGGGGCAGGATGCAGGACAAGGGGTTACCTTAAGGAAGGTGAAGGCCGTCCATTTCAGCTCCTCCGTCCCCTCTGGAGACTCGATCAGGCCCACAAAGCAGGCTTTCCAGATCTCCAGCACAAAAAGCGGTGAGGGAATGCGCTACAAGTGGGATGGAACAGATCTCAGACCCAGAGAGTCCAGTGTATGCCACCCCCTCCACACACGCACCCTACTGCATGGGTCTTCAGAGGGGATCGAACTGTGAGCCTCTTGATTTAAAAGCAGGTGTGTCTGCCACTTGAGGAGTAACCCCATTCTCCACAGGCAAAAGCAGACTCCTAAACCTCCTACACGGACCAGCCAGAAGGGTGGGGCAGAGACCCACCTGGCATTAATGCGGGTGACACACAACTGGATTTGGAGGGAGTCATACTTCCCTACATTTCTTGCGAGATCAGGGGCCAGCCTCGGCCTCACCCCCCTCTGTGCAAGCCAGACACCAAGACGAGAAGTGACCTGCCAAGGCCAGACAGATTCAGCGCCACAGCCGGGATTAGAGCTCAGGAGGCCCGGCTTCCAGTCCCACTAGGCCACACTGCCTCTCTGAGTCAGGATTCACCCAGGACAGTGAGAAAACAAGCTGCTGCTCCTTCACTGTACCTGCATCCGCTTCACCATCATCAGCTGTTCCACGAGAGGCTGGGTCTCTCCTGTGAGGTTCATGGTTCCTTCCAGCAGCACCACGGCATGCACGGTGGGGAAGCCGGTTTTGTTCAGCTGCTCGGAGTGGGCCGAGAGCATGGTGGGTATGCTGCAAAAGAAGAACAGTGGTAATCGGGCAGGGGGCTCAAGTGATGGTGGCGGAGACCCTACACCCGCCAGAGCTGAAGGTCATTGGGTTTCAACCCTCCCCTACGCTGCTTCCACGTCTGGGTCAGGATGGGCGACGGCCCTTAGACTCTTCTCTGGTTTGACAGACGAACTTTTGGTCACTGGTGTTTAACACCCTGGGCTCTGGGTAGTCCTAGGGCTTGTCCACATGGAGAAGCGAGTCCAGAATAAGGTCAGGTGTGAATTTAAAGCCTCTGGCTATTCCGGAATAGTTCCCTGCATGGACACTCTTACAGAACAGAGTCCACATGGGTGTTATTCCAGAATCGCTATTCTGGTCATGTTCCCATGTAGACAAGGCCAGAGAGTTAAAGGGGAGAGGCTGCTGAGGGGGTATCATGAGGGGCGCTTCCAGCCTGGGACGCAATGGAGTTCCACCTAGCCCTGCATCCTCCCTCCCCCCAGCCAGCTCCCAACAGAGGCACAGAGGGGCAGGCCAGGCTGCACAACGGGCAGAGGAGATGCCTGGAAGGCATATGAGGCTCTCTGGCCACCAGCAGAGGAACCGGGACCCATACAAGGGTGAGTGCAGAGTCCACAGGCCTCAGCAGTGAGCCCGCCTGGGCTGTGCCAACGTGACCCACCCACTCGTCCCCCAGTGCTGCTCCCATGACTGCCCCAGCTGTCCCAGCCGACAGGCAGAGCAGGTGCATGGACCCCCCGCCAACTCGTAACCCCAAGCGCACAGAAGGCAAGGCAGAGGGGCTACCTCTTGATGAGGGAGATGCACTCGTCCGCCTGGCTGTGCAGCTGCAGGTTACTGAGGCTGCTCAGATTCTCCCCCAGTTTGATCAGCGACTGCTCTATGGTGCTCCACGAAGCTAGAAGGAAAGGGGAGGGGGGTGGAAGGCAAGATTTTCAACGTAGGGATCCCAGGGAGGATATGAGAGTCCCAGTAGGTCTGTACAGCTGAGAGGTCCTGACGAGGGCTGGGATTTGCCTAGGAGCCCAAGGGAGTAGGCAGCCATATCCCATTGGATTTCAGTGGGAATGAGGTACCTGACTCACACAGGCGCCGGAGGAAATCCCAGCCGAGATCTGTGCTGCCGCAGAGCTGCTCTGGGATACAGCTCGGCTTTGCACAGCGCCCTCTCCAGGTATGCTGGGGAAAGTCATACCGCAAAGGAGCGAGTCCGCAGCAGCCATTAGCTCCCGCGGACTCCTCCTCCAGGGCAGCGGGGACTGGAAGGCAGGCAGCGCGTATGTCATGTCAGGGAGCAGGTGGCTACAGCGATTGAGACAGCAGAGGAACTGGGGTTGGAGCAGCAGGGACAAAGAGAAGGCTACGGGAGGGGGAAGCAGTGATGGCACGGCTTGGCTGAGCGGGATGAAGGAGAGGAGGAGTCAAAGACGATCTCCCAGGTGATGGAGAGGATGGCAGCGAGAGAGAATGGGAGGAAAGCTCAGACGTTCAGGTTTGACCATGGCAGAGCCACCAGCAAGACGAGCCAAGGTGAGAGGGTGGGACGGACGGAGTGGCCCAGCGACATACACGTCTCCTCCAGCTTGCCGATGTGAATCAGGGCCCGGTTTTTGGTGCTACCCAGGATCTTCTCCAGCCGCTCCAGGCACATCTTCAGCTGGTTCTCAGCAGCCGCCTGGTCCATCATCTCTTTGAACTTCTCCGTATAGAAGGCTGCACAGCGCAGCATCCAGTTGAGGGCGCTCATCAGGGCCCGGCACAAGCCAATGCACTCCTCTGCTTTGCCATGGCAGCTGAGAGAGGGGGGCAGAAGAAAAGATTAGGTTTGAATGTCTCATTATGGGACCTTCCCCTCATTCCAGCTAGCCAGGCTCCCCCACCACCACAGCATCCAAACACCTAACAATCCTACACCTAACTACATCAGGCAGGGCTGTGAAAAAACCACGCCCTATGCAACGTAGTTACAGTGACCTGAGCTCTGGTGTAGACACGGCTAGGTCCATGGATGAATTCATCCGTCAACCTAGCTACCTCCTCTTGGAGAGTTGGATCTACCGTAGTGAGGGAAGAACCCCTTCCGTTGCTGTAGGAAGTGTCCGCGCTACAGTGACAAAGCAGCACGGCTGCAGCGTTTCTAGCGTATACACACCCAAAGGGAGATGCTCAAGGTCACACAGAGAGCTGGGGAATTGAACCCAAACGTCTCAAGTCTCAGCCCTGCACCTTAACCACTGGACCATCCTTCCCCCTATTCACATTGGCTGAAACATGTGGCTGAATTTCATCCACCTGTTGACGTTTTTCCCTCCTCAACTCACACAAAGCACTTCGTCACACTTATAACCTCCAGTGTGGTTGAAAAATCTCACCATCACGGGGTCTTCCTGGCTTCTCTGGTCTTCTAATTAAAGGGATATACTTTTCTAAGCCCGCAATTGAATTATCTTGCAAAAAGTGATCAGCATTGATCGACACACTACGGGGTGGGAGTTCTCCTTCTGGAGCACAAATCATTTGGTTCCAGAAGTTTGGATCTAATTAAATGGAGGATCAAATTAACCAAGGACTGGATGACGCAGCCAGCTTTGCATTTGGCCAGCAGCAGCTCCTTGCCAACACTTGGTGACAAATTAATATTAATTGTTGCAATTCTGCTTCAGGAAATAGAAGAGCAGCTATTTCCGCCTTTCTACCCCATCTATTCACTCCCCGGCATACGCTACGCTCAGCAATATCATTGACGCCTTTAAACAGGTTTAGCTGGGTTTTAAGGTAAACTACAAGCATTCCGGGTTTTTGAGAAACTGTTTAATGCCCCAAATCATCAACAGAACATCAGCCCCTCGCTCGCTCTCTGGACATAGCCTCAGCAGCGTTGTGGCAAACGCCTGCTGACTAGCACCAGGGCAAACACTCAAGGCTGCAAGAATGGCCAGGTGTGTCCAGAAACAGAAGTAGCAACGGCTGCAACAATGAGGTGCATTGGCAGTGCTGGGTGTACACGGCCCAGGACCGTGGAGCAGGAGGTGCCGCAGATGAGGACTGGGATGCATTAGCAGGGATATAATCCCTCAAATGTATGGGTTTAAGCCTACCAACTACTGGGGGTCAGGAAGATATCTTTCCGTGGAGGCAGGTTACTCCATAATGCCAGATGCAGGGTTTCTTGTACCTTCCTATAAAGCAGGCACTGGCCATGAGCAGCAATAGGACCCTGGCCTGGGCGAGCCACTGGTTTGAGCCACTCTGGCAATTCCTATATTCCCTGTGTTTAGCGCAGCTGTGTGGGGCGTCCAAGACCTGACTAGCAGGAGGGCTGTCAGTCAAGGTGCACAGGCAGAGCTGAGGGAAGTGACCTGCCCAGCTCCTACATCAGGGGTTGCCAAACTTTTGTTCGGCATGACCTCATTGTAACAAACCATTTCCTCCTGGGACCCCAGACAGCAGGACGATGTCATTTTCAAGAGCAAAACGGCATCTCTGCACAGCGCGACCTCGCACACACCATAGGTGAGACCCCGTTGCACGGATGATGCCATTTTGCTCTATAAAATGGCATCCTCCATGCAGCGTGACCTCTTACATATGGTGCGTGTGAGGTCATACGGTGCAAAGGATGCTACTTTGTAGAGCAAAATGGTGTCCTCCATGCATCATACATGGGAGGTCACCAAGGGCTTGTCTACACCCCGGATTGGCGGACAGCAATGTAGTGTAGACAAGCCCCAAGTGTCATCCTCCATACACTAAGGGATCACTGCGACCCTACTGGCTGATGGCACGACCCCATCTGGAGGTGCGACCCACAGTTTGGGAACCGCTGTCCCACGTATCCACTACTGCTGGCTCATCAGTGTTATCGATCTTTGCCTTTCAGGGGCATTAGAGCAACTCCTCCCACAGCATCATCACGCAACCCTTCAGAAGAGAGCACAATGTAACACAACAGCAGCCCAATACCTGAGCCGATCACAAAACATATCCATGATCTCCAGCAGGGACTGGACGCAGAGATCTCGGGAGAAGTCATCGAACTACAATACAGGAATACAAGGGGATTTTAAAATCAGAAGCGTTGAATATAGATCTCAGTTTTTAAAAAGAAACATTAAAAGACAGTCTGTGACCCACTCTAGGATAGGACAGGGCTCCCTGCCAAGAGTTTGTATTGGCAGCTAGGCCAACAGCTACTCAGAAATGAAGGCTGTATTAATAGGAATGTTGTAGGCAAGACACAAAGTAATTCTACCACTCTACTCAGCACCGATAAGACAGTTCTGGGCACCATGCTTCAAGAAAGATGTGGACAAATTGGAGGAAGTCCAGAGGCGAGCAAGAAAAAATGATTAAAGGTCTAGAAAACAGGACCTACGATGAAAGAATGAAATAAATGGGTTTGTTTAGTCTGGAGAAGCAAAGACTGAAGGGGGACATGATAACAGTTTTCAAGTACGTAAAAGGGTGTTATAAAAAGGAGGGTGATAAATTGTTCTTCTCCACTGAGGACAGGACAAGAAGTACTGGGCTTAAATTGCAGCAAGGGAGGTTTAGGTTGGACATTAGGAAAAACTTCCTGTCAGGGTGCTGAAGCCCTGGAACAAATTACTTCGGGAGGTTGTGGAATCTCCATCAGAGGAGATTTTTAAAAACAGCTTAGAGCAGCGATACTCAGAGCTCAGTGGTTCAGGAGCCAAATTAGCGACCAACATTACCCAGAAGAGCCACAATCATGTGAATTCACTGTCTCATTTACTACAGCACCACTCAGATGTAAACAGTGCGACAAGGGGAAATATTGATCGATATAATTTTCATAGCAAATACGTTAATAACTTAGTGCAAGTTGATAACTTAATTGGTTAACAACATCGTAAAAGCCTCCTGAGTGGTTAATAATTAAATCACACAGGGTTTTAATATCACGTGCTGCAAAGAGCTGCAGGAGACACTTTAAATAGCCACTTGCAGTTTACGAGCCTCAGTCTGAGTATCACTGGGTTAGACAAGTGCCCGCCAGGGATGGTCTAGATAATACCTAGTCCTGCCTCAGTACAGGGGCCTGGACTCAATGACCCATCAAGATCTTTCTAGTCCTACATTTCTATGATTCTAGGTCAATGCTTCTCAACTGGTGGGTCGCGACCTGCTGGGAGGGGATCATGAAAGGCAGTCAGGGGGCTACCAAGGGTTGGAAGTTTTATTACAATCTAAAGCAAAGAAAATCTCACTCCCCCACAGCCCGCATGCTCTTACCCTTCACGTGATCTCTGTCAACCTCTCGACTCTCACATACACAAATAAATATTAAAGCATTATCGTCATCGATCCTTTATTCCCTTTATTTCTATAGGGAACATAAGGGGTTGTGAAAAATACCTGACTGAGAACAAGGACTCCCCACTTGAAAAGGTTGAGGAACACTGATAAGGTAACTTATTCTAGCAGGACACTAGCAATCTTTCACATGAACCACTTTTAACCCATAGCACCCTGTCCTGGGAGTGCATTTCCCTCTGTCACTAAAACACAACGTCTCTATGGGCAGATTTTCAGAATGGTTCATTGCCCAGCAAGAAAAGCCAGTCTGGGTCAGACCAAAGGTCCGGCTAGCCCAGTATCCTGTCTTCCGACAGTGGCCAATGCCAGGTGCCCCAGAGGGAATGAACAGAACAGGGCAATTATTGTGTGATCCGTCCCCTGTCGTCCACTCCCAGCTTCGGGCAGTCAGAGGCTAGGGACACCTAGAGTATGGGGTTGCATCCATGACCATCCTGGCTAATAGCCGGTGATGGACCTACCCTCAATGAAGAGTGGGAGCTGTTGGGTGCTGACTACTTGTGAAACTGACCCTTCACGTGTAACCTCAGCTCCTGGGACATTTAATACAAGTTACACTGGCTAAGATGTTAACACTGCTCCCGTCAAGGAGAAAAAACACTAGTCTCTGGCACGACACTGCATTAACTGGCAGCGCTACATCCCAGTGTTGCTGGTTTTAAGTATTAACCCCTGGATTCCCCCACCACGGCTGGAGCTGTCGACTGCTGTGAAAAGGATGTGCCAGCATGTGGTTTTAAATGTGTCGTGCACACGTTAGATGGATTAGGCCTTTCAACCTGCCTCGCAAGGAACTGCGCGCAGTTTCCCAAAGGAAAGGCAAGTGATCTCTTTCCACTGATGGTGAACAGCCTGTTCAACATAGCAGGGACACAGAAACAATCTCTTTGGTTTGTGCCATCTGATCATTGCTGACTCAGCAAAGGATGCCATTTTCCGCTTGACCTATATCTGGCAGGAGTCAGTGGGACAGAAATGGATGCATAGATTGTAGGTAAAATGAAAGACGGCATCCGTCAAGATCTACCTTACTGATGGCCGTCAGGACGGTGGAATAAGACACCATCTAGGAACAAAAAAAAGAGAGCAAGAAAGTTATTAGCTAACATTTTAAAATGCAATTGCTGTTGCCAAGGAATAATGAGGTCATTTTACAGCTGTGCTACTTGTCTCTTAAAAAGGGGCTTTGGCAGTGACCCAGCACAAATTTAAACAGACATTTTTAGGTGCTTTACACAAACTTCACATTAAACTACAATTTTAAATAACAAGCTAAGGAAAGCAAGAGTGTCTGGCAGCTGAGGAACTGTCTAAAGGGCAAGGGATCTCTATGCCCGCCTGTATGCACAGGTCACCATCAGAAGCTTTATTGCTTTGGCACGTACTGATCAGAGGGACACTCCGCCACTATCTCCTTGCAGAGGAGAGAAGCATGATCGAGTGCCGCACTGGGAGACAAGAAATTCTGCATTCTAATCCTGGCTGTCCCACTGAGTCCCTCTGTGGATCTAGACAAGTCACTTTGCTTCTGAAACTTGGTTTTCCAGGAGCAACAAGTCCCCTAACTCGGGGTTGAGAAGGTTAATTCATCAGTGTCTGTAATACACTTTGAAAAGGAGAAGTGCTACCGAGGTTGTTACCTGGGAACTGATTGCATATTTCAGGTAGGACAAGATCAGTGGGTTGGGTGATGGGCCAATCATGGCCTGTTCAAGGAGAGCTTCTGCAATTAAAACAAGAAAGGCCGGAGATTTTAGTTCAGCTAACACATAATCTCTCATTGTGGGCACATCCCACAAGCAGGAAGGGAGACAAAGAAAACATTGCTGATCCCAAAGATTTAGCATGATGCCGTCTTTAAAATAAATGAACCCTACAACTGTCAATTCCCAGTAGCAGAGGACAATAAATAACTTAGGAAGCATAAAGTATCCTGCCGCTAACTCAGCTCTTGCAGACAATCTTGGGCCAAAATAGACTCCACTGTCTGAAAGTTGCTGTTATCAATGTGCATTACCCCTCTTCCAACTTACTGGGGCCCAGTGATCTGGGAGAAAACCTCCGCTCACACACATCTCTTGGATGCTGCCACAACTGGGCAGCTTTTGCTGTTGGTTCCTGAACTCTCCAGGCCTAGCGAATGGCCCCTCTGCTGAGAATGCCCATGCACTTTGGGTGCCCGCTTCCCCTGGCAATCTGCCAGAGCTTGAGTTTGGCAGCTCATGAGTGCAGTGCATGTCCTATCTGTTCAGTCAAGCTTTTAAACTGCCCATTTGCACTACTGCAGCAGATCACGGAGGCTGTCTCACAAAGACAGATCCATATTTTGCAGCCTTTGTTTTAATTAGTCTGAGGCACCCAGATGCTGGAGGTGGAAACTGCCATTTGGGAATCACTGAATAAGTGCATCCCTCACTTTCTTGGAGGGCAACCGCTCAAAAATAATGCACCAGTCTGAATCCCCAGACAATAATAAATCACAAGCACTGAATCAGAATTGTTGGCTGCAAGATACATCCTAGAGCTTGCTCAGCAATTATGGACACTCGGAAACTAAATGCATCTTTCTGCTCACCAGAGAGGGAGAATTCTAATGAAAAGGAGGACTTGTGGCACCTTAGAGACTAACCAATTTATCTGAGCATAAGCTTTCGTGAGCTACAGCTCACTTCATCGGATGCATAAAAGTGGAAAATGCAGTGAGGATGTTTTTATACACACAGACCATGAAAAAAATGGGTGTTTATCACTTCAAAAGGTTTTCTCTCCCCCCACCCCACTCTCCTGCTGGTAATAGCTTTATCTAAAGTGATCACTCTCCTTACAAAAAGAAAAGGAGTACTTGTGGCACCTTAGAGACTAACCAATTTATTTGAGCATGAGCTTTCGTGAGCTACAGCTCACTTCATCAGATGTTATACCGTGGAAACTGCAGCAGACTTTATATACACACAGAGAATATGAAACAATACCTCCTCCCACCCCACTGTCCTGCTGGTAATAGCTTATCTAAAGTGATCAACAGGTGGGCCATTTCCAGCACAAATCCAGGTTTTCTCACCCTCCACCCCCCCACACAAATTCACTCTCCTGCTGGTGCTAGCCCATCCAAAGTGACAACTCTTTACATAATCAAGTCGGGCTATTTCCTGCATAGATCCAGGTTTTCTCACATCCCCCCCCACCCCCATACACACACAAACTCACTCTCCTGCTGGTAATAGCTCATCTAAACTGACCACTCTCCAAGTTTAAATCCAAGTTAAACCAGAACATCTCCCCCCAGAGGGGGGGGTAAACCTTAACTTGGATTTAAACTTGGAGAGTGGTCAGTTTAGATGAGCTATTACCAGCAGGAGAGTGAGTTTGTGTGTGTATGGGGGTGGGGGGGGGATGTGAGAAAACCTGGATCTATGCAGAAAATAGCCCGACTTGATTATGTAAAGAGTTGTCACTTTGGATGGGCTAGCACCAGCAGGAGAGTGAATTTGTGTGGGGGGGTGGAGGGTGAGAAAACCTGGATTTGTGCTGGAAATGGCCCACCTGTTGATCACTTTAGATAAGCTATTACCAGCAGGACAGTGGGGTGGGAGGAGGTATTGTTTCATATTCTCTGTGTGTATATAAAGTCTGCTGCAGTTTCCACGGTATAACATCTGATGAAGTGAGCTGTAGCTCACGAAAGCTCATGCTCAAATAAATTGGTTAGTCTCTAAGGTGCCACAAGTACTCCTTTTCTTTTTGCGAATACAGACTAACACGGCTGTTCCTCTGAAACTCTCCTTACAATGTGTATGATAATCAAGGTGGGCCATTTCCAGCACAAATCCAGGTTTTCTTCCCCCCCCCCCTTTTTTTTTTTTGGTAACTTTTCCCCTTTCCGTCATCCTATAACCAGGGAGCATGACGCAAGACATCATGATCCATCACGTATGCATCACTACAGCTCCGCCAGGCACTGGGGCTATTCTGGCATCTCGATACCAGATTTTTTCCTTCGGTTTTTGGATTTGAAAGCAGCATCTGAACGTTAAAAAGGACCATTCTAGGGCTAATGCACAGTGGGTTTAAAGGAAATCACCTCGTCCGAAATTATGAACAAGGAGGATCATCAGAGCTATTCCAAGTGACAAACAAGTCCTCCCTGGACTCCCGCAAACCCTGTCATTATTTGTATTATGGTAGCACTGCTAGAAAACGCAATTGAGACCAAAGGCCCATTTTACGGACACATCATAAGAGACAGTCCTTACCCTACACAGACAAGGCAGGCAGTGGGTGAAGGGAATACAGACACACAGAGAGGGGAACAGACTTGCCAAAGGCTGCACAGCAGTGACAGAACAGGGGCTAGAAACAAAGTCTCCAGAGTCTACCTAGTGCCTTTCCACTGCCTCCCATCCCCCTGCCACCGACACCACTCAGGTTAGCCTCTTCATAACGGGCAATCACTGGTTCACCTGTGCTGCCTCATTTCTACAGAGAGACTCTGTTATAATTGATATGGGCCAAAAGTTTCAACTCCAGGAGCCTAAAGTCAAGCTCCCGCATGCAGATTTAGGCAACGACCTGGACGTGCCCTATATGCCAACAATTCTGAACGGCTGCAATTCCCCCTGCCGCAACAGAGCTGAGGTTACGTGGCTAAATCTGGACGTGGAGCCTAACTTTAGGTACCTGGGTTTGAAAATATTAGCTACAGTGCCCAAACGGTGCTAAACACTGCAAAGGCCTAGAACTAGGCAGTCTCTCTGCCCTGAAAGAGATTATCATCGAAGAGGATAAAGCGCAGACAAAGGAGCGAAGGCAGGAAACAATAGGCAGAGAGGTTCGTAAGGCTGGGAGGAGGAATACACAGCTGCTGGGGGTGGCTGAGCTATGCATCAGGTTAGTCTCTCAATATAGGTGCATTTTTAAAGTTACAATTTTCAGAACTTGAGGGGGATGGGGGTTAGCCATAGCCTATCACAATGATATCTGAAGGATTTTTATCTTGGAACTGATTTGCAGTACACGAGAGTTATAAGTGGGAACTCAGAGTCACAGATCTTCCATGTGGTACCCAGTAAATTCTTTTGTATGACAAGTATCAGATCATGCAGGGCTTTAAAAACAAAATCTGTTCACCACTGGTGAATGGGGAGCTTTCTATAATTAGGGGCAGGGAGCACTAAATTATAAATTTCTCCAGCTCTCAAAACACTATCTTTCTAATCCTTGTAGTTGTAAAGAGCACGCTCCAAATATAAATACAGCGTTGTCTTCCTGAGCCTGCAGACTGCCTCAGTCCCGCTGCTGCTGCTCAGAGCTTTTCCAAGCAGCAGCACAGCAAAAATAATAGAACGCTAATCAGTTTCACAACTGTGAAAATAATCATGGACATTTTACTCTTCTGCTGCCCAAGATGGCTAACAGAAGAAGCAGAAAATGGAGCTACTCACAAGGGACAGCGACTGTAGCAGAAGAATATACCCTCTGCAGCAGCTGAGGAGATGGGGTTGGATAGAGTAGGAGATACCTCACTTTACAGTAGGCTTGCAATTGAAGGGCAAGCAAAGGAAGAAAGAAGCAGAGCGGAACTCTTTTCCATCCCAGCAGGCAAGGTGAGGCTTCAAAATTTAGCAATTACCCTCTAGCCAGAGGGTGAGATTACAAAAATGGTACTCTCAGGCAATGTCCAGGCATAGCATTATAGTACCCTCCTTCTACCCAGCAGGTTTGAGCTGCACTTTTCACGCTCATCCCTGGGACCTTACTCCTCTGGCCAGTAGGTGTCTGGTAAATTCTGTAAACCCTATGTTAATGCACCAATAAAGAACTTTTGAAAGGAACAGAAATGGGATCTCACAAGTGAAACAAAGAATTCCCCACCCCTCACTTAACAGAAAATGGACCCAGATGAATGGAATCGCATGTGGGGAAGATATGATCTTAGGTTATGGGAGAGCCAACCCTCATCTAGCATAATTAGGACGTTCAGTCCAGTTCTCCATGTTGGTTTGAATGGGGAATATTTCCCTTGAAAACCTCTCCTTTACATCAACTCAAGAACAAGTGATTTGTGTTCGTTTACGCAGGGCTTTCAAACACACACCACAGCCAGGAAAAACTAACATGTTACCATAATTGGCATAAAAGCCTGGCAATTATTTTACCTACGTATACTCAGCAGGTACCAACATTTACCAGGATTTGTGTCAATCTACCTTCTTGAACTGGGATGAGAAAAACAAATTCTGATGGTATCTGTGGGTCGGAAAATGCTTTCAGTTTTTTAATAAACAATAATCCCGAATGCTTATAACAACAGAAATACCTAGTTCTTATACAGCACTTTGTATCCTCAGATCTTTAAGCACTTGACAGGGGAGATAAGGATCATAATCCCCATGGTACATGTGGGGAAACTGATGCCCAAGGTCTCCAAGCAAATCAGCAACACAGCTGGGAAGAGAACCCAGATCTCTTGGGTCCCAATGTAGTGCTCTATCCACTAAACCATCCTGCATCTCTCAGTGTCAGTAATACCTCAGCTAGTTATTGCAGCCAATAATCATACTTTGTACCCTACTCATCCTAAGATTTACATACTTGGCTTTAAGCACGAGTAGCCCTAGTGAAGGGCTCCACTCGTATATAAGTCTTTCGAGTGCAGGAGCCTTCATTCCAAAGTTTACTGTTGGGGAGTTTTTCAGCCCTGATAAGTAGGGCAAGTTTACACGCTAGCACAGAAACACTAAACATAATACAAGTGCAGCAGTCTGCTTTTCCGGATCATATGTTTGTCTCACTCTGTACCAAACACATAACACAGACAGACATGTGCACCCAAGCAGTCAAAGAAAACAAAACCCTGACCTGCCAAATTAAGTATGTCCCAGGTGGCTCCTTTGGGGAAGAATTTCTTCATGTTTATGGCCCACTGGTAATCACTCCACCGCTCTTTCCAGGCCTGGAGAATGGCCTGCTTTAGATTGACAACCTTCATCTTTCCGTTCTGAAAGGGAGAGACGGATGATACAGCAGCTTGTTCACAACACCATTTCTCACCCATTCCTCTCATAGATTTAGCTCACCCACACACCTCCCCGGGGGGGGCGCTATAAATTAAGCATGCCTTTTATTTCCCTAATAAAAGATTTACTCAGAAGGAGGCAGGGCAGCCTGGTTCACCCAGGAGGCTGGGAGCCAGGACTCTGCGGCCCTATTCCCATGATAAGGGGGAAACGGCAGCGTCCACCGGTTAGAGCAGGAGCACGGGCTCCTGGGTTCTAGTCACACTGGGAGGGAGCATAGGGTGCTGGGGGGCAGGACTCCTGGGTTCCCTTCCCACTCCCAGATCTGGGAGACAAGTGTTTGCAGCAGGGGAGTGGGAGCCAGGACTCCTGGGTTCTGCTCCCAGCTCTGGGAGGGGGCAGCTCCTGTGGCTAGAGGTGGAGGAGTGAAGCCCCCCCCACCTCCCCCAGTGGGGCAGCCCCATCTCCTATTAGCACCCCTTTAACTTGCTTATGGGGGAGGGGGAAGCCCCCCCCGGAAACACACCCAGGGTCTCTTCCCCCCCATCCCCCCACCCAGAAACACACGGGGGGGGGGGGGCTCCCTCACCTTCCAGCCCTCGCAACCAGCCGCCAGACATCACCCCCTTCAGCCCCTGGGCTCCGCCATCTTGGCACCCACCAACAAGCCCTCCGCTGATTGGCTGGAAGAGCGCCGCGCGCCGCGGAGGCTGCTGGGAGTGGTAGTTTTTTGCAGCGGGCTGCCCTAGAATCATAGACTACCTGGGTAGGAAGGGACCTCAGGAGGTCATCTAGTCCAACCCCCTGCTCAGAACAGGACCAACCAACCCCCAATTTTTGCCCCAGATCCCAAATGGCCCCCTCAAGGATTGAACTCACAACCCTGGGTTTAGCGGGCCAATGCTCAAACCACTGAGCGATCCCTCCCCCAGAGACAGAGACATCGGGCCGCCCCTCTGACCTGGGTGGGGTGGGGCGGTGAACTTTTCCAGCCGATAGACAATCGTAGGATTTTTTTTTTTTTACTGTTATTTGGTGGGGTTATTTATTTGTGCCCCTTCGCCAGCTGGAATCTATAAACAGACATTTGTGCTGGTCCCCGGCAGCTTGCGGAGAAATGGGGTTGAATCCCTGGGGGTGGGCGCCGCAGCCAGAGGGGCTGTGACCCACCCCCATCCCACCCCGGGAAAGATTCAGCGTGCATCGTTAATTACGGTTATTTACCGTACTCTTCTTACCATAGTGTGCGCCAGGTGCCAGGCACTTCCCAAACACCCAGGAAGGCTGGCACCCACTCCCAGTCTGAGTTGTCTCTTCTCCAGTCAGTGGTTTTCAAACCACAGCCCCCGAGCAACCGGCTGGGCACTGGCATTGGGCAGAGCTCTGGGCAGGGCACGTGGGGCATTGGGGTCAGCTGGGCTCCCCTCATTTCCAACTGCTACACCAGGTTAAAAGACATGCGACATGTTTAATAATTCCCTCCATATTAGTTTCCCCAAGCAAGCAATCGCTCGAGCAACCACAAATTTCAAGATCCGTCGATTCAAAGGCCACAAGGGACTATTGTGATACATAATCTGACCATCTGTGTAACGCAGGCCAGAGAACATAAGAGCAGCAACACTGGGTCAGACCAAAGGTCCATCTAGCCCAGTGTCCTATCTTCTGACAGTGGCCAGTGCCAGGTGCCCCAGAGGGAATGAACAGGACAGGTAACAGAACAGAACGTCCCCAAATAATTCCTAGAGCAGCTCTCTTAGAAAAAAAATCCAATCTTGATTTTAAAATGGCCAGTGATGGACAATCCCCCCTGGATGTGATAGGAAAGAAGGTGGGGGCCAGGCCTTGGGGAATGGGAGGAGAGATTTCCTTGTACTCCCCTGTCTGTATCCATCTGTTGTCTCTTGTATTATACTTAGATTGTAAGCTCTTTGGGGGAGGGATTATCTCCTTCTTCTGTGTCTGTACAGAGCCCAGCACCATGGAGGGGTGCTAGGGCCATACAGATAATAAATAAGAAGATGAGGGGGAGGGCTATCCACAAGAAGGAACATTTGGGAGCCCCTTTCCGAGATACATTGGAATACTCCAGTATTTGCACCAATCCTTTGCACCTCTTTACACTTACTGTAGGGAATGGTGCAAATACAGATGTACCATTCTTTCATTCTCCGGGACAACTGGCAGGTTAGTAAGGGGAAAGTGCTCTCTTTCCAACCTGGCGCTCACATCTCTATCCAAGCCTTCTGGCTGAGGGAGGCCATCTGAAGGGGCAGACCTGGCAGATGGTTCTGGATCATCTTCATTCCCTTCCCCGTCTCGAGGGGATGTGGCAACGCTGGGATGGAAATACTCTGCTACTGCCACACACACAATCAAAATATTTGTGCAAAGTCTCAGATTGACTCACATGCTGGGACCCGTTGTCTACGCAGGCCTCACCAATCAGATCAAGGCAGCATGCTGCATCCTGGGACCTGTCTCCAAGGGCCTCCCAATCAGGCTCAAGCTGGGACATGTTCTCCTTGGGAGCTGCAGCTGTGTGTTCGAGGAGGAGCTGCAGCTGGCAACCCTGGTGCTGAAGACAGAATCAAAGCCACCGTCTTGGCTACCCACTCCCAGGCGCATCCCAGCACAGGCTGGCTTCGGGGCTGACGGGCACCTGATTTATTCTTCATTCCCCATCCCCCCCCCTTTGCTGTTTAATGCTTAGTTGGGGCTCCTGGTCAGAGTGCTTTGGGGAGGGAGCGTTGACTTAGACCCAGGATGATCCTATGACTAGGACAGTGAATTGGGACTGCGAAGAGCTGGGGGGGAGGGTGTCTCTTCCTCTGACCTGCTGCGTGACACGCTCCCTCTCTGTGCCTGGTCCCCCCACTCCTAGTCTAGCTAGAGTATAAGATAATTGGGGCAGGAACTGTGCACAGTGCAGCCTCTGTCTCACTGCAGGCCTCGAGGTGTTGCCATTAATACACAGGATAGATAATAACCGGGGCTAGTCCAGGAGACAGGGCTCCTGGGTTCACAGATTCAGGTGGCAGCGTCTCGATTTCCCACTCTTTGGAAAGGGGATCACCCCGCCTGTCTCACACTGGTGGTGCTGGGGCGATCCACTGCAACCACAAACCTCTTGGGGAGGGGCTAGAGGGAGGCCAAAGATTCTGGACACACCCATGATGGGCACACTGCAGCCGCCCAGAATTCCATGGTGGAGCCCAGAACCTCCGGCACCAAAGCCCATGCCCCGAGGGCTTAAGCTAGGGGAGACTCCTCATTGGTTATTAATGAGATAGGGGCCGCCGCCTAGGACACACAGTTGTGTCATTCTGATTCAATCCAGCGGGGGGCACACAAACCAGAATACTTTCTCTCTCACACACACAAACCAGAATACTGCAGCCCCTTCCAGATTTCCCCCGAGCCCCACAGCTGCATTTCACCAGTGGGGCCCATCCCCAGCACCGCAATGGCCTTGTGCCCCCAGCAGTCTCCACAGTGGTGCAGCTGGACTGTCCGCGCCCACAGAACCTGCTTATTACTGCAGTGGAAGCTGCACGGGGGAACGCTCAGGCCTTGCGGTAGCCGAAACAACAGGGAACTTTCCCCCCAGGATAGCAGCTCTCTCTTCTCTCTCTCTCTCTCTTTCCTGGCATCGGTTTCCCCCCACAAAATGCCACCCACCCTCACGGGGTGGCTGGCTGGTGTGCCCAGATCACCTGATCCCTCTCCCACGAAACTCAGTGTCTCCCAGTCACATGCCCTACGCTCACAACAGAGAACTGTGCCGTTCACCATCTGCCAGGATAATTGGGCAGCGGCTTGGAAGGGAACCTGGAGGAGGAGCTGTGTCCCTGGCAGCGTTAACCCAGCGAGCTGCCAGCTCCATGTGAGGGATCTGCACTTACATTGCTGCAGATATGCTTTGGGCTGGGCCAGGCAAGGCCCTGGTACCGTGGGCGTGCCAGTGTGGGGGTTTGGCCCCTCGCTCCAGAGTTGTCCTCGAGGATCCTGCATTTCAAGGGTGCAGAACAGGGTACGTTTGCAGGCTTGGCTGAGCTAATTCCACCCGGCGTCAAGGCGAAGCCAAGATGCAGACTGGACCCAGCTCAGAATCAGGTCTGGGTTATGCCTAAAAGGCCCCCGGGCGTGAGTTCACAGCCTGGTTTTCAGAGGTGCCTGACACGTTGGCTCCGGCGGGACTTGCCGGACCTCAGCACTTCGGACCCTGTCTCTGCAGCGACAGCTGAAGGCAACGGAGTCTGACCTAGTTCCCAGCTTTGCCATAGAAGCAGTGGACTGAGCTGTGGGCCCTCAGCCAGGACTCCTGGGCTTTATTTTTGGCTCTGCCACTGACTCCCTGCGTGACCTGGGGCAAGTCCCTCCTCCTCTGACCTGCAATTTCTGACAACGCTGCTGACTGACTGCTCCCTTTGTGGAGCGCTGGGTGTCTGGGATGAACGGCAACATGGCAGAGCACAGCACTGCAACCAACTGGTGAGCTTGGCTGAGTCACCAGTGCCCCCTGCTGGATGGAATCGCAAACTTCTCGGCTGTGTGTCATAGGTCCTTCACTTCTAACAGCGATTCCCCTTGAGCGGCCATGCAAGGGCTTTCAGTGCTGCTCTGAGATCTAGCCCCAGGCAGTTCTGAGTCCCTCTGAGCTATTTAGGAAGCTCCTTGCTCCCATGAAAGCGGCAATCCACCTCTTCGCCTTTCTTTCCTCTCCTGTGACTATGCCAGACGTTCTTTTTCTTTCCCCAGAGGCAGGGAGCAGGTGACAGAGACTTAGAATAATGATCATCCCACGTGTGGTTTCAGAACCCTTCTCTCTTCCCCTCCAGAGTCTTCGTCTGCTGCCCGGGGATGCCCCCTCTCCCTGCCCAGGCCACACACAGAAGATGGAGCAGAACATGGCTGGGAGAGCCTGTGTAGGGAATCCTCAAACGGGCCTGACCGTCCTGAAGGCACGGCCTTGCCTGGCCCTGTTCACTGCACATAACCTTGCCTTTTCCCCTTACTGCTTGTATTACAAGACAACCCCAAGCCCCACCCAGGGCCCTGCCGAGCCGGGCAGCGCACAGGTGGAGAGACTGCCCCGACCCAAGTGCTCACAGGCTAACCTGACGAGCGTTGTGATCTCCATGTTCCACCGGGGAATGGAGGCACAGAGGACTCCGCTGAGGTCATGCGCCAAGTCAGAGAGAACCCAGGAGTCCTGCTCAGCGCGCTGCCCCCGACCCCATAATAACCCAGCTCAGAATGTGCCCTTCTGCAGGGAGGATGTGAATACGGGACTCAACCCCCAGCCGCAGCGGGGCCGCCCTGGGCAGCGTCAGCAGGGAGGCCTGTGGCGATGTCTCGCCTCTACCTGGGGCGTGCCGGCAAGGCTGGGGGACTGCCACGGCCCGCGCTGCCCTCGCCATCAGCAGAGGGCGCTACCCTCCCGGGCGGCTGAGCCTGTGCCCAGGACTGCAAGCGCCAGAGCAGCCTGGGTCCCACCGGGGGGCTGAGGGCCCAGCCCTGCTGTGCCCCACGATGCCAGGGCCCTGGCCTGGCTCCCCCCAGCCAGCGTGGAGCACCTCTGGGATCCCACTGGGATACAAGCGACTGCCCTGGCCCCTGCCCCAAGCTGACACCGCGTGGCCGCTGCCCACACACACACACACACATACCCTG